TTGGCATATTGTGAGGCCATGCTGGTGCCCATAGCTGTGCCACTGACTTAAAGATATAAATTGTGTCCAAATTGGAAATAGTTGTGGGTGAGGACAAAGTCGCAGAGCTCAGCCATGAGGTGGCATCATGGGGGATAGTGTGCCTGATATAGCCAGTAATCCATCATCATGTGCAATATTGGTGTAAAGAGCTTCTACATCCATGGTGGCCAGAGTGGTGTTTTCAGGAAGATTGCTGATGTTCTGTAATTTCCTCAGGAAGTTGGTGATGTCTCAAAGGTAGCTAGGAGTGATGGTAGCATAGGGTCTGAAGAGAGTCAATATAACCAGATAATCCTGCTGTAAATTTGCTGATGCTTGAGATGATGGGTTGTCTGGGATTTCCAGGTTTGTGTATCTTGGGGAGCAGATAGAAAACTCCTGGTCACGGATTTGCGAGAGGGGTTGTGTAGATTTGGTCCTAAGTTGTGGCAGGAAGTTTCATGAGCAGATGGTTTAGGGGTTGTTTTTTTTTTTTTTTTTTTGGCATACTTTAGTGGATCAGAGGAGAGAAGCCTGTTGATTCTGGCATTGGTGATTTGTCAGCAGAGGATAGAAATCCCTGTGGAATTCTTCAAAGGTCTCCTTCCCATGGGTCCATATGATGAAAATGTCATCAGTGTAGCATAAGTAGAGTAAAGATGCTAGGGAGTGAGAGCTGAGGAAATGTTTTTCAAGGTCAGCCATAAAAATGTTGGCATATTGCAGGGATATGTGGGTGCCCATAGCTATGCCACAGACTTGAAGATATAAATAGTTCCCAACTTGGAAATAGTTGTGGGTGAGGACAAAGTCACAGAACTCTGTAAGCAGGTGTGCAGTGGCATGATCACAGATAGTGTTCCTGACAGCCAGTAATCCATCATTGTGTGACATGTTGGAGTAAATATCTTCTACATCCATGGTGGCCAGGATGGTGTTCTCAGGAAGATTACTGATGTTCTATAGTTTCCTCAGGAAGTCATGGTGTCTCGAAGACAGTTAGGAGTGCTGGTAACACAGCGTCTGAGGAGAGAGTCAATATAACCAGATAATCCTGTTGTAAGTGTGCCAATGCCTGAGATGATGGGTCATCCTGGATTTCCAGGGTCTTAAAATATAAAGACCTTGTTCTTGAAAAAACAGGAATTTTTATTCAGGGACCATACAACAGGTGAGGGAGGAGTAAAGAACCCGGAACGGGGGAGGGCAGCTCAGGAATGGGGCTGAGAGTGATACCTGCCTCCAGGTGGTTTGGAGGCTCCAACTGCCTCAGAGGACCCACCCCCGCCTTGGTTCTGGGGCCCTGGCAGCCTGGAAAGCCTTGGGTGGGTGGGGAAGTGGCTGTTGGCCCACTCCATGCACGACACCATACACTCCATCACTGGGGTGAGGGTGAACCTCACCATCTCTGCTCCCGGTAGGGTTGCCAGGTGTCCGGTTTTGAACCGTACAGTCCAGTATTTGTGCTGTTTGGGAAACAAATTGAGTAAATATAAATGAGAAAATAGAAAAGTCTGGTATTTTCTAAATAAGATGTAATGTCGATTGTGATGCAATGTCAAGTGTGTATGGTATTTTTGTTGAAACTATCCTGGTTGGCTCGGCGCTCCTGTCAGTTGGCAGCCCCCTCCTGGTGCACTTCCTCGAGTCCCTGTATCAGGGACTGCAGGCAGACCATCTGCTCCCTCATCCACTCCTCCCAGGTCCATTTCTGCCTGCAGATCCTGCTCAGTAGAGTAGATGGAGTGGGAAGTGGGGAACACGCCAAGTTCACAGCTGTCCCAGTCGTGAAGAAAAATTACAGGGGCAGTCATCACAGGAGACACTGCATATGAAGCTTAGCCCTAATCTCTGAGCCAACACTGAAGCTCTTGATTCAGATGATGGTGATGTGCTTTGAGCAAGGCCATATGTTGTCTAGACAGTGGGCACTTTCCAGCAGGTGCACAGACGTCTCAGGGGAGCATCGCAACAACCACAGCCCAAGAACAAGCAGGCATATGATGGTGCTAGTCAGGCCAGGAGTCTGTGGGCAGGATGGGGTGGCTTGACTTTCTTCTAGGGTTGCCAGGGGGTCCAGTATTGACCCGGACAGTCAGGTATTTTCGCCTCCTGTCCGGTAAAAAATAGTTCAGAAAATACCGGACACCTAAAATGTTTGGTATTTTCTGATGTTTTTTCCCTGTCAGGAGGCAAAAATACTGGACACCCTGCAACCTTACACACACTCAGCCACTGGGCCCAGCCCCTGGTCGTCCTCCCGGTCTCCCTCCACTGAGCCCTCCGGACCCCCCTGCTTAATTGATTCTGCAGGGAAGCTACCTTCTGGCTTGATCAGGCAAACAAGATGTCTGCTGGCAAAAAGCTTTTTTTTGTTTAATAACTCTTGGGGTCCTTTTTTTTTTTGCTCAACAACTTTGGTCTCCCCCTTTTTTTTCTCAACAGAATTTTTTCCTGTGTTTTTCTTTTTTTGGGGGGAGGGGAGTGTTTGCTATTTTTAGTTAAACCATCCAGCAACCCTACTTCCTTCTGTGTCCTGCACACGCTGGGTCTGGCACTAGTGGCATCCTGCAGAGAGAACTTCTATCCCTGCCCATAAAGGAAGTGTGTGTGAGCAGCAGATGCTGCCTGCCAGAGACAATACTAAAGGGTTCCTCATTGCTTTCTCCTCCCGGCAGGTTCCCATGCATGCGATCAGTCTTCTGCACATCACCACACTTGTCTGGGAGCAGAGACTGACAGAGTACAGGTAGACCCTGTGCTATGTATGTGGTTCCATGGCCCCAGACTACTTAGTGGGGGCTTGTCATGAGAAGATGTCCCACCATGGGTGGCTGGAATAAGGCAGGACTCTCCAGGAGCCTTGTGAGAAGGACTGGGGGGGTTCCTGTGTGACAGTGTCATGGATCTGTGTCCTCCAGACTAATGTTCCCTGTGCAAGTTGTTGGGTGACCCCCAGGCCAAAAAAGCACCAGGCCATAATCAGGGAGACCTTGGGGAGGGAAGGGGAGAGATTCAGGTCGGGCTGAAATGCGGTCACAGCCCCTTTAATTGCCGCGTGTCCCAAGCGGGCTTCCGTCAGGCTCCAAGCTGGGCCTGGGAAAAACAGAAAAACTTCCTTAATTAGAAAATGTGTTTACTGGACACAAAATCCAAATATCAGACTGTCCGGTTCAATACTGGACACCTGGCAACTCTAATAGTCACTGCTTACATGCACATGGCTTTGTCTACATTGGAAAGTTGCTCTGGGTTATAGTTTTTTAAACCATTTGAGTTCACTGGGTGGAAAGCCCTCTGTGGATGCTTTTAGCTGGGATTAAGCTAGATCGCTTGAGTTTATTTGAAACTTCTTCCAAACCAGTTTACTAAACCCATAAAAAGCAATTCTCAAAGCCACAGGACTTGGGTATATCACAAATGGCACTCAATTAAATCAGCACAATTTGTAGAGCAGGTTGATGGTGGTCCAGTCTGCTTATGTAGGTAAACAGAGAGAGGGTACCAGGTGGCTTCAAAAAAAATACCAGATACACTTGATCTCAGATGGTGGGGGCGACGGGACTGGCCAGGAGGGGAGCAGAGCCAGCTGGGGGCAGGGGCAGAGGGGCTGGCAGGAGGAGATTGGGGGGCAGGGACCAGCAGCAGGGGGGAGAGAATCAGCTGGTGGGGAGCCAGCAAAGCACAGAGTCCAGCCCTGGGGATTCCCTCCTGCCCTGGCCCCACCTCCTGTAGCTGTGTACTGCTTGGCTGGTAGACACACTCACACAGCATGAGCATTTCTACCAGCCAGGCAGTTCGCAACTACGTACTGATACTCATAATAATTAAATAATAATAATAATAAAACTCACCTAATTAGAAAATACCAGACATTTCTATTTACTCAATTTGTTTCCCAGACAGAACCCTCAAATACCAACTGTCCGGTTCAAAACCAGACACCTGGCAACCCTAAGGTGGGGGAGAGAACTGCCCTTCATCATCCGGGTAATTACTTGGCTTCTATGTGGAGGCAGACAGCTTCAGGAGAGTAACTGCCCACATATACATGGGTGCAGGTACACTGTGGAGGGGTTAGGGCCCGCAATACCTTCCAGAAAGCCACAATGGGATGCATTAATTGCCCCAATAACT